ACTGTGTGCTGAAGACCTTGGGGGTACAGGGGAAGGATTGCATGGAGGGGATTGTAACCATGGCAATGGGACGAAAAACAATAGAATGAATGTAAAACTAATGTTCTCCCATGTAAACTATCACATAATTCACAATAAAGCATTTAAGAAAAAAAAGAAGATGGAAGGAATACATAGAGTCACTGTACCAAACAGAAGGGTAGTGGAGAAAGAAGTCCAGGGTGCATTGAAGGCATTGACAAAGAGCAAGATTCCAAAAATTGATGAACTATAAATTTACATCTTTCAACAAACTGATGCAGCACTGGAGGCATTCACTTTTCTTTGCCAAGGGATTTGGAAAATAACTACCTAGCCAACTGTTTGGAAGAGATCCATACTTGTGTCCATTCCAAAAATAGGTGACAAAAAGGAATGTGAAAATGACTGGATAATGTCATTAACATCACACGCAAATAAGAGTTTGCTAAAGATAATTTAAAGAATGACTGCAATGTACATTGACAGAGAACTGCCAGAGGTTCAAGCCAGATTCATATGAGGATGCAGAATGAAGGATATCATTGCTGACATCAGATGGATCTTGGCTGAAAGCAGAGAAAACCAAAAAGAGGTTTACCTATGCTATATTGACTATGCAAAAATTTTGTGGACCATGACAGGTTATAGAAAACATTGTGGAGAATGTATATCCCTAAATACTTAATTTTGTTCATGAGCAATGTATGCATAGACTAAAAAGCATTGGTTCAAACTAAAGAAAGGGTTACTGAATGGTTAAAAATCAGAAATGCATAGTACAATAGACTTCCTGTATAATACTCAAAACTCTGGTGAACACCTTTTCTGATTTTTTTTTTTTCAGAAAAGGTATTCACCAGGGTTTTAAGTACTATACAGGAAGTATATTGTACTATATAGTAAGTACTATATACTCATGTGGCGCTGTGGGTTAATGCGCCAGACTGCAAAGCTTTTGGCCGTTCAAGCTCACCAGCTGCTCCTTGCAAACCCTATCCAGGGTCACTATGGGTCGGAACAAACTCGATGGTACTTAACAACATATACTCATGGTGTAGTACAGGTATGGTGCTGCAGGATAATGTGCTGGACTGCAAGGTTGGTTTGAACCACAAAGTCAGCAGTTCAAACTCACCAGCCACTCCTAGGAAACCCTACATAGGGTCACTATGAGTCAGAACTGAATTAACAGCACTTACCAACAACAGTAACAACATATGCTCTTGGAACCTTGGTGTGGCACTTTAGGATAAGCACTGGACTCAAGGTCGGTTCAAACTGAAGATCAGTGGTTCAAACTTACGTGATACTCCTCAGAAACCCTTTCCAGCATTGCTATGAGTCAGAACTGACTTGATGACACTTAACAACTACATATACTCATATATGCTATCTTATTATTCATGAGACATAAAATCAAATAGAATGTAAAGATTACTTTTCTCATCAATAAAATAGAGATCAAATATGAATTACTAGAGGAGCCCTACTTGACTATATTTACTTTAACTCACTCTTTAATGGTTTTATTTATTTATTTAGATTCAGAATATGAAAGTCAGTTGGAACCAGCCTTCAGAGCAGTAGGAATAATTATTCTTCTGCTTAGTGTAATTAGATAAGTTATTGGGCAAATCTTTCTCCATCCCAAGTATATTTTACTTTTTTTTCACAATAATTGTCTTCTTTTTCACAATAATTGCCCCACTTTTTGATTGGTGTATCTAAGATGTAAGATTTTAGAATGATGGTTCTAAACCAAGGTGTGGAGAAACACATATCAATCTTTATGTGAGATGTTGTTGTTGTTGTTGTTGTTATGTGTCATCGAGTCGGTTCCGACCCACAGCGACCCTTTATGTGAGATAGAGTGATAGAAAACATAACTTGGAAAAGGCCCTTAGGGAAGTTCCTCTGTCCACATTCTCCCTCATCTTCAGCACTTGGAAATGTTTTAGAATATCCATTAAAATGCTAACATTCTGGGATGAAGTAAATTATAAAAAATGAAATTGGAAAAGCAGTGTGAAAGAAGTTAAGTGAAGGAAGATATGACAAACGGATTGAGTAGGTGAGTTTGAGTGTACCTTACTCACAGTTTCTTTAGGTTTGACCCAAAGTCACTTTTTCCACAAACATTCAAGACTAATTGACCTCTTTTAAAAGGGAGTCATTCCAGCCAATGTTCTCTATATAGGAGAATTCCAAGCCCAGGAAGTTAAAATATAAATACACTACCTATTACTTATCCCAGCACAGCTTACCTAAACAGTCCTGGTTCAGCCAGATCCCCTTCTCTTACACCAATGGGTAGAAGAAAGAGTAGAATGTATACCCATAAAATTCTTCTAAAGCAGAGCTCAGGGACCACCTGTCTACTGAATTGTAATTTAAAAGAAAGAAACTTGGTAACAAGTCCACAAAGACTCTACACAAATGTCTTATCCTCTCATATCTATGACAGCTGCTATTGTTCTGCTAATCCTCCAGCTGACTTTGGTTTTGCATTTCCTGAAGCCTTTGTCACATGACAATCTTAGTTCTTGCTTTCTTACTTTCTCATGCCAGTAACTACTATAGCTACCCACATTGTTTCTCTGGCTTTGGTCTCTTTTAATGCCAATCCTTATCATTTTTGATGGTTATAAAAATTTTCTCAAAGTAAAGTTCTAATCATGAGTGAATCAATAAAACTAGAACAATTAATTGATTCAAGGATGTTACTCCTACTTTTGCCAAAGATATTGACTTGAGCCATTGTCCGGCAGCTTCTGAGACCAGATTCTTATATAGAATATGTATTATCACTTTAAGGTGTGCTAGGACCTCTGGTAGTGTAGGGGTTATGAATCCGGCTGCTAATCTCACCGTCAGCAGTTTAAAACTATCAGCTGTTTCA